CATTATGTAACTAGACTTTAATACTGATACTTCATGGTGTCCTTGACTTACTTCATTCCATTATGTAACTAGACTTTAATACTGATACTTCATGGTGTCCTTGACTTACTTCATTCCATTATGTAACTAGACTTTAATACTGATACTTCATGGTGTCCTTGACTTACTTCATTCCATTATGTAACTAGACTTCATGGTGTCTATGTCTTACTACATTCCATTATATAATTAGACTTTAATACTGATACTTCATGGTGTCCTTGACTTACTACATTCCATTATATAACTAGACTTTAATACTGATACTTCACCGTGTCCTTGACTTACATCATTCCATTATATAACTAGACTTTAATACTGATACTTCACCGTGTCTTTGACTTACATCATTCTATTATATAATTAGACTTTAATACTGATACTTCATGATGTCCTTGACATACATCATTCCATTATATAACTAGACTTTAATACTGATACTTCATCGTGTCCTTGACTTACTTCATTCCATTATATAACTAGACTTGAACACTGATACTTCACAGAGTCTGATATTTATGTAGTTTCACTTGTCTCTGATGTACTTTTCTGCAGTACATACAGATTTAAGTTCCAAGCCTTCACAGTATTTTAACTTTCTTATTTAAAGTAGCAGAAGTTACATTTCTCTCTGATAGTTACAGAGATACTGTACAAATATTTTAAATTCTTAAACAAATACTCACCCTTATCTCCAACTTGACCATCAAAGCCATCAAAACCAGGATCACCTTTTTCTCCTTTAAAACCTTTACTAGCATACAAAACATCCCCTTCTTTTCCTTTAGGTCCAGGACGACCAGGTGGTCCAGGAGGACCTACAAATCCTGGAGAACCATCATCTCCAAAATTTCCCTTAGATATAAATAATCAAATCAGAATACAAAATACACTACCTTAAAGAAGGAAGCTCTTGAAATAAGCTTTAATTATAACATTAAGAATTATAGCATCATACAATTTGCCATCAGTCTTGTTACAATTGTGAGGTATTTCTTGCCCAACCTTTATTTATTTTTCTAATATACTTTGCATCAATCAATGGTAACAATATTGCTTTTGCACTTTGTAAAAACTATTATTCTAATATGGCAGTGCATTTGCAAAATTAAAGTTTTTCAAATTAAAACAATTAGTGAATAAATCTGCTAAGGACTGTACAGATACAAACATTCTTTTTGGACCAGAGCTAAGAAACCTCTGTGGGTATAGTTTTGGTTTTAATAGACCATTTCTAGATTGGAACAATGCTTCAACTTCTATACTGAAGCCTTTTTTAAAAGTTTGACCTGAAGATGAATAAATCTAGAAACCAAAACGTCATCTCAATCTAGAAACAGAGAAAGAAAGTCAATTAAAGCCAAAACTCTTAACATGTTTACCCTTGAAAAAGCACCACTGAGGGTGTTAGTAAAATCCTAAAGTTACCAAAGCTTTCAGACTTAGGAAACACAACATTCTGAATGAAAAGGTGAGTCTATGAACAGCCACAAAAAGAAAACCTGAATATAAATACTGCTTTTTGAAATTTTCCTGCAATTATTTATATTCTTAAAGGATGAATGGTTAACATTCGTAAAGTTTAGTTCTGCTGCACAATGAGAAGAAAATGTATTTGGAAAGTTTTGTTTGCATATTATCATTCCATTTATATGTTTCATTAGACTTGTTTAACTAATATGTCTAACATAAATATTTCATTACCAGTACTTCATGACCAATATTGAAGGAGAGGGAAAGAAATATTTAACAAAGTCAAAGGTACATATTGTTGAATCAACTTCTGTATGTAAGGTAGATTTGAGACTAATGAAAGAACTTGTAGCTCAGAACAATGGCCATAATTTTCTTTTATCCACTGCACCTATGCAAAGTCTTTTAGAAATCTTGTGATTATATGCATCTGATAAGATTGCTTACATTTAAACATCAACTAAAATTTTGTTACCATCTGCCAAACTTCCAACAAAGTATTAAACACTTAAAGTTGTTGTAAAATCTTCTAATAGCGAAGATTAGGAGTAGCTTGGATAATTATAAAGTGCAGCATACTTCAGTTCAGTTAATAGTGGTTTGGGGCAAGTACTTTTGATATTCACTCTGAAGATTTTATAAGTTTGTTATAGTTTGATAAGTAGTATTGTGTAACTATTTTATACAGAAAACATTCAAAAACCAATTAATCTCAGAAAAATATTCCATTGCAAAACAGTAATATCAAATGTTTTTAAAGCAGGTGATTTTATAATTAATGAAGATCTTGGTATATTACAAAACCCTTATTCTAGCTGCTTTAAGAAACACACGAGTGTGCCCATTCTTTTCTTTTCTGAATTAAATCTATAAGTAAGACATCAAAGGACCAGTCTGTTTGTTCAAAAAATACATCAATGAAAGAGCCATTACAACAATACAGTATGTGTAATTTTATGTTTGTTAACGTTTCTGGGGAAGATATCTGTTTATTTTGTTGTTAACCACAAAGATACACAACAGGCTGTTTGTTGTTCCCACCATGAGTAACAAACCCAATTTGTAATGTTAAAAGCCCTTAAACTTACTGCTGAGCTACCAAGGGGCAGGGGGTAAAAGATACCACAAAATATTAGGTTAAACAGAACATGAATTATGTATTGCAAAAACTGACTGATACAAATGTTGAGTAGGTTACAATCTCTTGATTAACATATCCTGCACTTGATACATTGCAAAAGTCGAACAAAGAAAGACCTCAAAACTCTCACCTTACCTAATCAAGTCATTACCTTATTTTTTGTCAGCTATATGTGAATCTAAATACTCCTTTCAGCTTTAATAAACTATTATAAACATAATAATGAAAAAGTTAGTGATTAACTGGAATAATTTCACTTCATCACTGTACACCTCCCAAAAACTTGTATTTTGTTTCATGTAAAAGACTTTTTAGGTATCTTGTTCTGTTTCCTGAAAATGAATCTGGTATAGATTGGTAAGGACCTAGTATATACTGAAATGTAAAGCAAACTTTAATACTTATTAATTTTTCTGGTAAATTCAAATGAGGTAGTTTATCAGTTTAAGGTAAAAGACACCAAATAGCATTACCGGTTGTCCTTTTGCTCCAGAAAATCCTCTAAAACCTTCTGGACCTGGAGGTCCTTCTTTTCCTGGGATTCCATCAAGACCAGGTGGACCAACCTCTCCAGATTCTCCTTTTGCTCCTTTGGTAGCTCCTGGATATATCAATTCTCCATGTTCACCCTTTATTCCTTTTCGTCCTTCCATACCATCAGATCCTGTTCGACCCTATGAATATGATAATTACAAGCTATATTAATAAACTATTATTCTATTAGAATAGTGTTCTTCAAAAAAGGTCTAGAAAGGATAATCCTTATCATAATAATATTACTCCAGAACTTTGTGGCTAGAACTCCACATGTAAATATTTCAATAAACTAAATACAAATACCTGTACAAATTATCCTAAAATTTCATTAACAGCAACAAGAAATATATTTTTTCTTCTTATACAGTGTGGAAAAAATCATTCCCATTATGGAATAAATTAATAATCTTTAAATTAATCAAATATTACAGGAGAGTCATACATGTGTTTATCAATTGTAAGCCAAGTTGATATTATTACTAATATAAATTTGATATATTCTACTTAAAATATCAGCTACAAACTTTTTTCTGTGTGTATGAATGAGTTAAAACAAAGTCTGCTGTTGATTTGTTGAGTATATTATAGCAAGTTTAAATCTGCAATAATATCAAAGTCATATATACACCTAAAAGGCAAATAAACCATTTGATATAGTTCTATGTTGGAAAATGTGTGAGTAAACCTTATGACAAAATAAACCAAGTAACAAAATAAAATAAATTAAATTTTTCTACCAATTGTGAAGATTTTGTTTTGTTTCATTTTCAACAATATACTTACTGGAACTCCCTTAAAGCCTGGTGAACCTGGCCTTCCAGATTCTCCTTTTCTTCCTCGCTGCCCACGATATCCTGGGAAACCCCTTGGGCCACGAGGTCCTAATGACAACAAATATATATATTGTTTACTTTTTTTGGAATAAATACCTATAAAACAAGTGGTAATATTAACATTCATTGATCAAACTACACTCTATTGTAATCTGTGATAAAAATGTGAGCTTATTCCCATTTTTCATACAGCATTTACATGATACATATATATATATATATTTGCTACAACATGATGCATTATTGGTGAAAGATTATAAATCTTCCAAGACTTTCTACATCTGAAGCTTGCCTGAGTAAAAACCAATAACCACTGAAGAATGGAACAGGAATAGGGGATGCCATGGGTATCATACTTCCAATAATATTTGATGAAAGGCCAACATATGTATTACTCAAAATATTTCAAACATATTTTGTATTTCACACAAAGAAAAAGAACAGTCATTTAGTCTGGAGTTTCATAAAAATTTATTTGTATGATGTAGTGGAAGCTAGTTTATTAAGAAAGTATTGTTGCATAATAGTCACGCTTCTGGCACAGATAGCACATGCACACTATTGAATGCTTAAAGAGCATCCTCACTTGTCACACCCTTCCACTTTTGTTTCCCAGTGTTAAACATTCTCATAGTGATACATTGTGTAAAACCAAATTGGATATAAAATAATGAAACTTCTCAAGATGATTAACATGAATAACATATATCTTAGCCCATTAAAAAAATAAAATAGTACTAGTATAATAGTACTCGTATATTAGAGATACGAAACATATTTCAAAACATTGTTAAAACTACTGTCATTAAAAAAAATCACGCAAAAGTACAATGAAAAGTAAAAAAAAAAACTGCTGTATATTAAGTATGATTATGAATTTTACTAAATAAAGAATAAAAATGAAATATAAATCAAACATTATACTGCATTAGCTTCTGAGGAACTGGATAAAAATTTGATGGCCACCTAGAGTATGCTTGAGTATAAAATGAATAAGAATGGAACTGCTATTTTTAACTGAAAGAAAAAGAGTAAATCAATAAAAAGAGCAAACTAATATTAAACATGTTTTCCTTAATCTTTCAAGAAACAAAAAGTTGTTCATAAAATTTCCTTTTCAGTAGTATCAAGTGATGGAGAAAAACAAATGAGTAACACACACACATATCAATCAGCTCAGTAATGTTAGGCATATGAAACAATATGAAAGTAGTTTCATAACTATGTAAACATTTTAAGGAGTGAAAAATGATACTTGTGGCATTTAATACACAACAACTTACAAGTATCTACCTATAGATTTTAATTTTACCTGATTGCAATTTTCCCTTCTTCAATAAAATTATAATTACAATAATAAGTACACTAATCACCTTCTGACACACTTACAAAGAGGTTTTGTATCTACTTTCTTATAGCTTAAAATACCATTTTCCATATCTTATAAGGTTTTTCTTGGAAAAGGCCAACACACAAAGTGAATTTCCAATGACCAACAGGAAAAGGCACCTACAGTCATACATGTCAGAAAAGTGAGTTACAGTTGAACGTTAGTTTTTTAGACTGCTTAAGATTATTTTACTAAAACAATTCAAACGCATTCAAGCTATAGAAACACAAGTTGCTTTGTTCAATAATTACCTTGGCGTCCATCTTCTCCTCTTTCTCCAGCAATACCATGCCGTCCTGGTGGACAGTAACCACAATCATCCCCTCTTGGTCCCTGAAAGCCTGGCTCTCCATCTCTGCCTGGAGTCCCTGGAGAACCTGGTTCTCCAGGAAGGCCTTGAAGTCCATATTCACCAGGTGGTCCAGTTTTATACACACCAATTCCAGGTATACCCTTTGGCCCTTTAAAAATATAAATTATTTGATAAATAATGATAAAGACATGACATTGTTAGGAAAGGAAAACAATTTAGTTTTTACTTGTAAAAAACATTTTAACATTAATCAACGTTTTAACACAGTTTTATTCATTAGCTAAAAACTATCAAATAATGTTTACACTTTTTTTGATAAATATACAATGAAACTTTGTGCACAATAAGAATTAAATATTCATACCTGTAAAACCTGGGTCACCCCGTTGACCTGGAAGTCCACGTGCCCCATGCAGACCAGATCGTCCATCTTCTCCTGGGTTACCAATAACAGTAAATCCAGGCAGACCTTTATCACCAGTTAGACCCTGTACTCCTGGTACACCAGGTCTTCCAAAGGGACCTCGTTTTCCTGGAATTCCTGTAAAAAAAAAGAAAGTATTATTAAATCATCTATAAAATCTTGAAAACAAAGTATTTCATTTTTGGCTCTTTAACCCTCTAAATATATAAGGTATTAAGTGTACAAAGCCAAATATATATAAGATCATGATAATATATTTTTTGAATTGTTTCTATACATCTTACTCATATCTTATGATAAAATGATCAGAAGTTATCCTCAACAAAATCACAGTAAAAGAGAAAATTCATCAGCCTGATCATCAATGGAGCTGTAATGAGAAATGTCTTTACATATTCAGAATTCAATAATAAACATACAATATTATATCACATAAAGCCTGAGGTTCTTCTCTAAAACACTTACCATCTTCTCCAGGCTCTCCTTTGAAACTAAGTCCAGGTGGTCCTGGCTCACCTGGAGGACCTTGTGGACCTGGTATTCCAGGAGAACCACGATATCCTACAGGTCCTACATTTCCAGGTCTTCCTAAAAACAGAAAACCAGCAAAATACTAATTTAACAGACATTGCATTCTAAAAATAACTTAATGTGTGATTTGAAACATGAGATAGAGACACTTGGGTATGTTTCAAAGAAAGAATGCAATGCAGTATCCAAAGATCAAATTATGTTTTTCATATATACATTAAAAGGGGTATTTTCCTTTAACTCACTATATCACATTGCAAAATTTGAACAAGACTAAAACTACCCAGGCAAGTTACCATATAATTATGCATTCAACTTATAAGAAACACATTCAATATAAGAGCTTTGTCCTTTCAGAATCATATTTAACCCGATGACTACCGGCTACTAACTTTCATAGTAGG